TATCCGGCGATATATGTAATGAACCCTGTGATGTACAGTACAACGACATAAGTACAGCATACTTATTATCCTTTAATATCCGGCGATATATGTAATAAAAAATGTGATGTACAACGACAAAAGTACACCACACTTATTATCCGGTAATATCCGGCGATATATGTAATGAACCCTGTGATGTACAGTACAACGACATAAGTACACCATATTTATCATCCTGTAATATCCGGCGATATATGTAATGAACAATGTGAGGTACAGCAACATAGGTTCACCACATTAATTATTCGGTAATATCCGGGGGGATATGTACTGAAACCCGTGAGGTACAATGGCATAATGCACCACACTTATTATCCTGCAATATCTGGCGAGATATGTAATGAACCCTGTGAGGTACAACGACATAGGTACACCACACGTATTATCCGGTAATATCCGGCGATATATGTAATGAACAATGTGAGGTACACCAACATAGGTACACCACACTAATTATCCGGTAATATCTGGCGAGATATGCACTGAAACTTGTGAGGTACAATGGCATAAGTACACCACACTTATTATCCGGTAATATCCGGCGATATACGTAATGAACCCTGTGAGGTATAACGACATCGGTACACCACACTTATTATCCTGCAATATCTGGCGAGATATGTACTGAAACTTGTGAGGTACAATGGCATAAGTATACCACAGGTATTATCCGGTAATATCCGGCTATATGTAATGAGCCCTGTGATGTACAACGACATCGGTACACCACACTCAGTATCCGGTAATATCCGGCGATTATATGTAATGAACCCTGTGATGTACAACGACATAATTACACCACACTTAGTATCCGGTAATATCCGGCGATATATATAATGAACCCTGTGATGTACAGTACAACGACATAAGTACAGCATACTTATTATCCTGTAATATCCGGCGATATATGTAATAAAAAAATGTGATGTACAACGACAAAAGTACACCATACTCATTATCCGGTAATATCCGGCGATATATGTAATGAACAATGTGAGGTACAGCAACATAGATACACCACACTAATTATCCGGTAATATCCGGCGGGATATGTACTGAAAACCGCGAGGTACAATTGCATTAGTACAACACACTTATTATCCTGCAATATCTGGCGAGATATGTAATGAACTCTGTGAGGTACAACGACATAGGTACACCACAGGTAATATCCGGTAATATCCGGCGATATATGTAATGAACAATGTGAGGTACACCAACATAGGTACACCACACTAATTATCCGGTAATATCTGGTGAGATATGCACTGAAACCTGTGAGGTACAATGGCATAAGTACACCACACTTATTATCCGGTAATATCCGGCGATATACGTAATGAACCCTGTGAGGTACAACGACATCGGTACACCACACTTATTATCCGGTAATATCCGGTAATATTCGGCGATATATATATATATATATGTTATGATCAATGTGAGGTACAACAATATAAGTACATTTGTACAACACACTTATTATCCGGTAATATCCGGCGATATATGTAATGAACCCTGTGACGTTTAACAACATAGGTACACCGCACTTATTATCCGTTAATATCCGGCGATATATGTAATGAACAATGTGATGTACAGTACAACGACATAAGTACACCTCACTAATTATCCGGTAATATCCGGCGATATATGTAATGAACAATATGATGCTCAGTACAACGACATAAATACACCACAATAATTATCCAGTAATATCTGGCGATATATATGTAATGACTAGAAACATGTGAAGACCAAATATAGGAACAAGTAATTTCAAGACACATTTGTAGAACAAATTTGGAAGTTTGTTATACTCAGCGACAAGTGCTAACTAAATATACAATGGAATGCAATCGTCTTTATAAACAAAGACATGTTTGTTTTGAAAATGTCAGTCTGTCTTCCCACCCATAGGCTTGTTAGACAACGAAAGAGGGCACGATGGAACAATAAAGTTTGGCAGTATATCTGTGTAACCTGAACCTGTATGACAACTTGTTATTCTAAAAACATATTTGTTAGTCATCGATAAATTTCATTCAAACAAAGGTTAATGTAACTAAATAAGTAAATAACTAACAATTATTTCAGCACTGACTTATTTTCCTGAGGATGTCTTAAACGTAAGTGAAATAATAGCGACGACGTAAACATTTTTATGGCATATTTGATAATAATTTTACATTTTGTTTAATGAACAATTCTCAATATCTATAATAAAGAGTGAATAGTAATACAATGTATACATACACAGGTCCTCGTCCTTATTTGCAATTTGTTGTGCAGGATCTGGGTCTTCGCTCACACGTTTGAGAGCTTCCTCTCCCGAAGAACTGACAAGTGGAACGCAATAACATATTTTGTTAAAAGAATAGAAAAATAATGGAAACAGAGCATGTTAGATGTATTTAATTAATGTTGTAAATGCTGTCTTATTACTTTTATATATGTTTAAATTATTTACTATTGTTTTAAGTACCTGCATAGGGACACATCTAAGCCATCGTGTCCTCCTACACTTGTCATTAGGGTTTGGGGTTGACGCGCTATTCCGTCTTTCCTATATCCTAATACATCCTTATCTTTCAGCATACTATCATTAGGAGTAACACCTTGGTACTTATCTTCGGCGCCTTTTTCCTCTTTACTCTCTGCAACGGTTTGTTTGTTATCTCTTATCTGCATCTGAATTTTCCTAAAATATTGAAGTCTGTTATCGACGTCTTTTCCCGTCAGTCTTTGTTTAAAACCGGTTTCACTAACAGGTACTTTGGCCGTTTGGGACCTATCATCGCTGTAACCGTTATCATTGCTTTGGTTCTTTGGCTCTCCGTTTTCATTTTCACCAGGAGATTCAAATTTCATTCTCATTGAAGATCCCCTAGAATCAACACTGTTCATACTCTGAGGAAAAGGCGATTCGTTAGCAAATCTTACTTTCTTTTTACTCTCAAGTTCATCTGTGTTACTTTGAGCAGCATTTGCTAACGATAATGTATAATTTTCGCCGTTGTGCCCAGTTGTGAAGTTTTGAATATTTGTGTGACTGTTTCCTCGTTGAGAAAGATATTCAGAACCTCCATTATTATGTTGCTGACCTCTAGACCTATGAAGTTTTGTAGTACCAAGATCTACCGGAACGCAACGGTTCCGTTCCTTGTTTAGATGGCGTGTGTAATTGCTCACCAGAGAAGCCGCTCGTTCTACCCTAGGCACAAGATCACGAACCATGTTCTCTAATTCCTGAAATTCATCATCTCCTTCCTGGATACGTTTCTCTAGTCGTTGGAAGGAATCCTCTGAATCTTCACAAATGATACGTCAAAGAATATAAAAAGCTATTTAACACAAACTAGTTAACACAAATTATTTCGAATTATAGATTAAACCTAAACTTACGGAAGTATTTTCATGCACAGGCACTTTTATATAGAAAACAGTTTGTTTTTAACTTATAGTGCTTATTGGTTTTTTTTCTTCAAACAATGCTTGTTCACGTTACCACTTTAATTTGAATTATAGGACAATAGAGACAGCAATTATCATTGTAAGTCTTCTCGAATTTAGGACAAAAAATAATTTACGTTGACGCTGAAAAGAATGTATGTTTAACTTCTATGTCAAATATTCAAAGACCTATCTATCCAATGTTACAAGAGTAGAGATATTATACCATTAATTTGATGACGTCGTTCTTCATCTGCATTATTATCGGCTTCCCTGCAAAAAGTATGTTAAATTCTGTGACAAAGGCATACTATTAATTTTTATAATATTTCTATGGTATGTTTAGTTCATTATTACAGTTGCTCTTTTCATGATTTCGGTTTTCAATTCGCAAAAGCAACAATTGTAACTGAGTTTTGTTTTGTAAAATTGTCGCTATATAACTGTTGGAGAAGATATCATAGATATGCTATCAGTTCTTACCGCAAGTGAGTGTACCACTACAAGTTCCCTCTGTCTCTGTAACCCACCGATATAACATTAATATGTCTGTTTACATCACCTCAACTTCCGCGACATTCCCTTTCTGTGACATTTCATCTCCGTTCTGTTCTCTTTTCACCTCTCGTAACGCTCCTTACATTAAGTGATATTTCCTCTCCGTTCTGTTCTCCTTTCAACTCTCATTACTCTCCTTACAATTCTCCTTTCACCTTAAGAAGCTCTCATTACCTTTTTTGACATTTCTTTATTGTTTTCGACACCCCATTTTCCCCCGTATATCTTTTTACCTTTCTTGCAGAATTTGCGTCACTTTTGCGTTGGTTTCAAAGATGTTTGTGATCATTTCCTTTATTCGGTTTATCTGCAAAATATGTTTTTAAAATAGATATGCAATGTTTTTGTTCATCATTCTTTTTAAGATAAAAATAATACAAAATCTATCAGAGTCAGAGAATGACAACAAATAAACCTAGTGTCAATGTTAAAAAACCTACAGCCATAACTGAGGACATCAAAATAGAAGTAAACACATCATTAACTTAAACTGAGGAGTAAGTGTTGCCTCCGACCAGTGAATGATACCCGTATTGATGTTTTCTCATCAAATCAATGATAGCATAAAGGTCAAAACTTTCATAACCGATATCTCAATACACAAGGGATGAGACTCCAAGGAAAGACAGAGGAATCCCCTCTAAGAGGTGAACTCAGACCGTCCAGGATGATATGTAAGTCCTGTACCATGTCTCCTGTTAAACAGAGGTAAGTAAGTCACCGACGTGCTCACGGTATGTATCATAGAGACAATCTATAATCATTAAATAATAAAAATAATCGTGAGTGTAGCAATAATATTTCTGAAATAAGGAAGTAATATCCCTCTGATTCATAAGCTTGCGACAATAGCGGAAGTCATGATACATAGGGCGTGTTTGGTGGTTATATAAAGGCATTCATTAAATGACTTATGTACATAGTTTCATGTACCTCCTCCATATTGATTATCTGTTCCATCTCGCTGGTCTACTCGTCAATAAGGGGAGGCTACTGGTTCAGCAAATATTGCTTCCATCATGATAAATGGTCCAAGTCAACTGAAGTATAAACGAGTAATACTTGCCATGTCAACGCAAAATAAGAGCTTAAGATCAATTTTTGATTTGTATATATATATTCATACCATATTGCCACTCTCTGTTAAGAAACAAAACGATATTCAGCTTTTAACTCACAAATGAGTTGCCATTTCGTCAACGAATCATAATCATCATCATCATCATCATCATATTATCATGTTGTTACGACACATAAAGGCAAACAAGATATTATATTTCAGAACTGTTTATGTATCAAAGACCTAAAACGGGAATGAATTAAATAAAACTTACCCCGCTATCCGACCTGTTTATATCTACACGAGTAGTCCACTCACACATACAAAACTAAATATAAACGACATGTCAAGTCCCCTTCATTTTACGTCCGTCTTTGTTTTACAGGAAATGCAGCAGCAGTAACGTTGTAGCGTGAGAGTTGCAAGTCCCGTTTAAGTTGCCAGCGCGCATGTGCAGTGAAAATAGTAATTTCCGGCGTGAGAGTTTTGGTTTTTGTTTTGGTTCGCAACATAACAGATTATACTATTTATGATAATATATGAATGTGTCATCATCCAGAAACATTGGTAGTAAGATCTACAAAACTCAGAATTACGTTAAATGGATCAATGAAAGCCTTGCTATTACGCTTACTAGCCTTAAACTGTGTTACCGGCCGGCACCTATCAACGTTGAATGTTGAACACAACCGCAGCGAAATCGGAAAGCAATGAAGAGGCCTACATGTCGGGTAAGTGTTATTAAGATCATATAAATAAATTTAACAGGAAATATTTAGAAAATTTGAAATTACTTTTCAAAAATGATAGTTATTCAATTTTGTTAAACATAACAGTATCAATTATTAAACAATGCTGGAGAAGAACCTTCAGTTAAATTAGATACTCAAATGCATATTACGTAATATATACGTCTTTGATCATCCGAAAGTAAAATACTAAATGACATGAAAACTTGTTGCCTAATTCCGTGTTTAAACTTGATTCGACTCCAAGAGATACTGTATACATATACTTTTAATAACCTGGAGTTTGTGACACTAATTAGGAAATAACAGAAATCTGTTATTCTGGACTCGGGCAAATACCCGGGTCTGTGCCCCCGGGCACTTAGCAATCCAAGTTCCTGAAGGTACACTAATGAGGTGCATACTGGTACCAAATCTAAATCACAGTTACAGGTAATATATATTGGTTATGCAACGACGACGAAAACGGAGATAAATTTTGAATAGAATTGGCAAATAGAGGATTTTCCCCAAAATTACTTATAGTCAACTAAATTTGAACAAATGTTTAAATAATTGTTTTATGCAATGAACGTTATAAACGTATTTACGTACATGAACATTCTACGGATTTGTTTTAGTTATAACAACTATCGATATACATACATGTATATAATATGTATAAATATAAATTTGTTCCAATATATACTAAAGATACATGCTTGTGAAAAGTAAATCTACTCTTACAAAATACTCGTCAAATTTATTTAAACAAATTTAAGTCTTTAAAAGCATCAAGTTATATGAATGCATAACCACGGGCTTTATCCAATTCCGTATACAATATCTGAATTTAAACATAAAACATTATATCAACATGTATGTAAGTCCCAGGTATTGTTTATTTAGGTGAATTACGATGTCATAACAGCTTTTTTCTCAGAAGTTAGTTTAATAATTTGGTTTATTGATAAAGATACTAAAAATTGTGCAACTGACTGCGATGAGCAACGTTTTACTTTTAAGGGAGAAGGTTATGAAAAGTTGTAACAATTTGTGACCACTACCTTGTTCAGATTTATTCGGAAATGAAATAGTACATAAGCTGATTGAGATTTATCATAATATTTGTTTGAATATGGAAGAAAAGAAAGATACGTGTATTGTCTTTTGTGACATCTCAAAGGCCTTTGATAGAGTTTGGCACAGAAGTCTAGTCGCAAAGCTTCTTCTTTCCTTATTCTGATTTCCAAATTCGTTTCATGGTATAAAATGTACATATATATCTATTGTCGCTATCGCATTGTTGTAGTACAATTGTTGAGGAGAGGGCTTTAATAAGTTGTAATAACTTGTGCCCAATCCTCTTGCTTGAATTTAGAAGCAATACAATATGTTTTAATTAAAATGAAATATGTTGAACGAAAAAACAATCTCAACGATTCCCAACCACTTGTACGGACCAAGTTCCGCCTGATATTGAAAGCGTAGTTGATTGGCACACGAGACGTCTCTGACGAGACAGTTCTTAGGAAATGTGTTTTATTTTGATGCACCTTCATATAAGACCAGTGAATATAAATTTGAAACGTTTTGTTGTGGAAAAACGTCTGCGTTGCTGTCCGGTGAGATACCATTGACTAATCTGTTCTTGACGTTTTTACAGTTTTGAGCTTAGCTGGTGAATTCATTTTCTCATCTTCATCAGGCAAGATAATCATATATGTGTAATTACCCAATCTAAATTGTCCACTCGGCACGTTGACGCCAATATTCAAAAGCCACCAAATTAACCATTCAGCTTATGTGTTCACAGGAGGGCGGGGTCACTGAAAAGGTGGGGTACTTACCTGGAACGATGATTGGCTTGTGTCGCAGGTGATTGATGGCTAAGAAATTTGCCGACAGAGTCATCAATGTACGTTTTTGTTAGAACAAGAAGTCTATTGTGTACTATATATATTACGGAATTAGATAATCAGTTTCGACCACATCGGCCTTTGAAAATTGAAACTTAAAGCGTTTCACCGTTTTTCTTTCTTTTTTACATATACAATTAATACAGTATTGTTTTTCTTAAACAGATGTGGTCAAACAATTTTGGACTTCAATATTTATTTACCTCAAACACGTATTTCAATTAACTTATATTTACATATAGAATAATATTTAATTTTCAGACTGATGTCCCCTTTTTGAGTTGGAAAATTGCGTATTTTCTTTGAAAGATACCTAGAAGTTTCGTTTGATTGAACTGATAAGCGTTCACATCGTCTGCACATCAATAAGTACAAGAACAATCGATTAATTCAACCTTAATTACTTTTTTTTTTAAGATCGTAGACGTGATGGGATTGTAATCTATACATTAACACCAATTAATTCACTCAAAATATAATCATGCTATTTATTAAGAGTTGAGTATAAGTTATGAAGTTATTAAAATTTGGTTATCATAATGTCATTTCCAATGTTTCATGTGTTATAACAATGTCATATATATAAATGAGAAAATAACTCAGATACATATTGATGATATATGTAATATATAATTCTCTGAACAACCTTTTTTATAGAATAAAACAGAGACATATATTGGAACCTCGGCCTGGCAATTTATATATATACTATATACAATTTAGTCCGATCCTACCCCGTTCCTAATTGCAATTCGTTTATCAAATATACCTTATACCCGATAATGATACTTAAATGTATCTAATATATATATCAATTAATGTATATAACAATTAATAGATTTCTGCCCGTTCCTACCCGTTCCTGCCCGTTTCTGCCCGTTCCTGTAAATCGTCGAACCCCAAAACTAAATATAAACGACATGTCAAGACCCCTTCATTTTACGTCCGTCTTTGTTTTACAGGAAATGCAGCAGCAGTAACGTCACGTGAGCTATATATATTGCACAGTTAGACTGTCGTTAGTACAACAGTTAAACTTTTCCTGTGGAGATACTATTCTTTTATTAAAACACGTGTGATGTCTTACCACGCACACATCTTTTCTACGTGTAGTTACCCACTGGTTTATTACAAACGAATCAACCCCGTGAATTATTTCCTCCTTCCTACACACAAAAGTGCTATAAATAAAGTGTAGGAATAAGCAATGAAACCATCGATTTAACGTCTATTTCTTTATTTAATTTATATCAATAAATCATAAACCTATTGACACTATTATCTAATGGAGAAACATAGTGATTTTAGACATCATATGATCATAGAAATATAATTTAAACAAATCACCGAAGATTAAATCTTGGGGCTCTTCAGGCTATTTGAATGTATTTGAATTGTGATGTCATAAATAAAGTACACATACTTACGACGTCAAAAATAATGACGTCATATACATGGTACAAATAATGCGGAAGTCTATATTTTGAGACGTTGGTAAATGGCTGTAATTGCGTTACAATTTAAATGTGTCAATAAATATACGGAAAAAGAAACAGAGAATACTTGAATGCTCTGATGAAAACATCGTTTAAGAGTTAAAACTATCTGAATGTAATTATCGCTCTTAAAGCATGATACCTTGTTCATCTGAAAATATCCAACATACGGAGTTCGTAAATTTATCCTTCTAAGAGATGCTCCAAATTCAACGTGTTAAAGCTCGTTTTTAGAGTTAGCAAACATTCATGGTCTCTTTCAATTCTCGTTCAATAATATCTGATGTATTCATTTGATAAATTGGTGAAAATCAAAACCGATAATTTGAACACTCCTGAATTTTTTTGTTAACTAATCAATTTCGTAAAGTCTTTTGTTTTTATTTTTTCGGCGATGGACTGCTTTTCTTTGACGTAGTTCATTTCAAGATGGAGACTGTTGAAGTAGAAAAATAGGACCAAGTGTGGCAGAAGGGTAAGTGTATCAACGAGACCAGGCATGTAAAACTAGATGAAAAACGTTCTCACATTAAGACAAGAAAGACAAATCAAGGCGATATATGACACCCATGATTGTCATATTTTGCAACAATATCGACAAAGTGTTATTGTCATTGTCTTTTTTTTTTACAATGGAGGATTTTCAACCTTTTGTCTTTTACATATTTTGACCCTTATAGTCTATATCCATGGTATTTCTGATGTGTTTTTGTTTTTGATATAAAAGACGCGTTTATTTTCTCTGATTGAGACGATTCATGTCTTCAATAGACATTTCCTTTCGAGCATCTTTGTCCTTGTCTGGAATAGACCCCTCTCTCCTTCTGGGTGGTAAAATGGAGGCTGAAGTTACACTGGGTTCTCGTTGGTTACTAAAATTAATAAATGTGTACATCAGAAAAGATCTTAACCACATATACTGTAGAAGTGTCGACCAGCCGACCTAATCAATGTATAAGAACTTAGTACTAGACTTGAATTCATTACAATTCATCAAAGTATCCCCTTCAACAATATTTGCAAAATAATTTTGAAATATATGAAATAGTAAAAGGTATATGAAAACCATAAGCATAACCATTGATGTCACATTTGTCATTAATAAGGCAAAATCAAGTAACGTATGTATTCAATAATGATAACACATTTCTTACATCAGTTCCACGTCAAAGCGTCCATTAGCTCCGAAGTTATATCTCTTTACTGTCTTGTTAGGCCATCGTATCTGAAGCACAGGCCAAACGTACCAAAGAAGAATAAGACATAAATATTGATCAATACAGTATTATTACTTCATTTGTTAGACATTTGTTAAACATTCCAAAGTAGAACAGACCGTACATTTGGATACATATACTGGTATGACGTCATTTTTAGACCTGTAAAAAAGACCAGATGTGCCAATGTAGAATGGGGCAGACATCCTTATCTAAACAACGCCATTTTAACATGTTTGAAAACTGCAATTGCGTTATCAAAATAGGATATAATGACCTTAATTGGTGATATGTTTTGAAAATTTGTGAAATATTTCTTGTAATTCACGATATTTTATCAATTGGATTTTTGATTGGCTTGATGACCTTTAATTAAAACTTCACAGAAAATAGTTGACGTATTATTAACTTACATGGACAGTCTTTGCAGGATCTGCTCGGCATACAATACCCACTGTCCCCTCACCACCGTCCTGATCTCCAAATGTCCAGTCTTTGCCTTACCAACAGATAAAAGGTACAGAATCATACACACCATTACGTAACCTTGTTCCAATTTATCGGAGGTAACGTAAAAGGTACTTATCGGTGATTTTATTGTACTTTGATCAAAACTAATTTGATGCATTGCTAAAATGAAAAATATCTTCAAATACCTAGTAATCTCGTCCCATCGCTATTCGTAACTAATCCTACCACAGTCAGTACCTACCTAATATATACTGAAATAACACTGGTTCTATTTTTTGAGTGGATTACTTATAGCAAATATTAAAAACTAACATATGAAATGATTTTTGGGGTTGCATGACCCTTCTTTATGTTTCACCAGTAGTTCAACTTATTTGTAATTTGGATTACCCTATCACGGTCTTTAGCATCACCGAGGTATCTTACAAGGACAAAAAAACTGTATGTTGCAATGTAATTCATTTTTGCCATACTGTATCGATTAGGAAATTGTTATCAGTGAAATATTATCCTGAGTCATTTGCAATAAACAATCGAAATGTAGAGGATATTGAATTTCATTCACCAAACTAATCGGGTGTTTTTAGTAAGAATAATGTTGTGATATTGTTTGTGTTAAATGTTATTATAAAACAATGCCTTTTTCATATAAATATTTGTTCATGTAATTGATGCTAAAACGTTCCAAGTATTGTTGCTTGGAGTACAGGCTTATATATAAATGGAAACATTTTTAATTTAGTTATTTTCTCGTAAACGAGTTCATTACATTTATTTCTTTTATTTCAGATTAATAAATGGTTTCAATAGATTTTTGATTAACTTTGAACACTTTTTCATTGGTAAATTCTGCCACTTAAATGTTTATTTAAGATCCTCTATTCACGCTTGTCAAGGGAAACAACCGAGATAAGTTTAGGTTTTTTTCCTGCTGTAATGTACAATAGTACTTGTTAATTTTCCTATGGGGATAAAATTCCTTGATGCTATGTCAATTATTGGTAATTATTATACTCTAGCTTGACCATGGAGATGATATGAAGAGTTAAATTAAAGCATTACATTTATAATAATCTGTTTTCTCTTCCAATTTACAATTTTTCTTCCACGTTGTTTGGGCTCACTGATTTCATTGGAATTTTAGTTTGATGGGAAACGTATGATCTTTTAATCTTATGCTGAATATAATAACGTTTTAATCTTATGCTGAATATAATAACGTTTAGAAGGACAGTTTTAAATGATGATTGAATAGCTAGATCTATTTAAATATTTCGAGATGATTCATAACATTTCATGATAATTTATAACAGACGGTATTGTGCAGACGACAGTATTTAAAACACGTTACCTCGTTTGACTTTACAACCAACTCCTATATCCTCGCCAGCCACCAACACCCTCTCCTCGTCGACCACTGTGACGTCATGTAACCCTGGTAAGTAGTGGTACACGTTCCTGTTACGTCCGAGGTCCCACTCCACCCATACCATTTCTAACAATAACAACGCACACGTAAATAGGTCTAAACATTTTCTTCAGGTTGGTAAGTATGGAATATATTGATAAGATTCTTGTAACACAACCAGTACGTGTTTCTATGTGACCTTATGTTTGTTGTTGACAATGTACACGGCGTCAAATAAAGATTGTTTATTTATTTATTTACAATGATTATCTACCAATCTCTGATCAACCTTTAGTTTGTTGAGAAGAGACACCTTCTAGATCACTACAGATCAAACCCGAACTTACTATCGGAATCATGGCCAACAACAGTTCCAGGTCCCTCGCAATCCTGGTTACCCCAGTGCCAGTTTGGACCGCGTCGAACACGTGTTCCAATGCACGGCATGTACGTGTTTACCTCTTCCATGACGTCGCCTTTGTCGCCGTAAAGGTCCTTTCGCAGGACCGGAGACTTGGTAAATTTTAATGCCAGAGTAAGAATGTCCATCTGATACAATAGAAACAAAGAGTGATATAGTTTCTCTGTGATACGAAATGGAACTCAAAATCCACGAAACTCAATCAGAATTTAAACAAAGAAAATATTCACACGGAGAAACAATTAATGTAGAATACGACTAGGTGTTCAGAAGGGCTAATGAGATAACGATTGTGACCAATTAAAATCTCAAACAGTCTTCATCAACATGCATCTCTCGACATATTGTGATGTACATTTGTCCGTCATCGGTCGTCATTTTTTTGCGGAAATAGCAATATTCAGAGTAAGCCGTTGTGTACCGATTCAATATTTAACACTGTGTGGAAGCATGAAAGTTAATATCAACAAATGTATAATATCAAAGTTGACGATCGGAAAATGGTTATCGCCTTGTTACTCGTTTAAACCGTCCCTGTTTGTACGTAAAGATCGAGGAGAGCGACTGAAGTAGAAGTTTGTAGTATCATTGATTTTAAGATAAGTAAGGCACACTTATGTATGATGGACGTTGTGAATGAATTTCTTGTTATTTTAAAACAACAGACCAGCGATATATCTGAAAGTTAAAGAACGTGGCAAAACCAAGTCGACCAAGAAAGGGGTACTGTTAGTCCCGATTAATGTGCCTGAAAATCAAATCGCTGAATACAACCACACGCGATCGGGGACTTGATCATTCCCATGATATCATCCTCAGTTCTATATTGACCATTGTTTTGTTTTGTACATGTTAAACACTTGCGAGTTTATAACCATTTTTTTTTATCGCCGTTGTCTTTCTTGGGAAAAAAAATCATGATAAGACAACGAAGTCATTCCTTGTGTTAGTTATGAGGTATAGAAATGTTTAGAGTGGAACAGTTGAATATTCTGATTATTCAGAATTGAGCAAAAGATCTTTTGGGTTCATCTGCCTCTTTACATTAATTCGCGACCATCACCCTGATTTAATGGTACTAAGAATGGTAGAACGAATATCAGATAATGACTTGGTTGAGAAACAAGCAGAGCCAGCAATAAAACTTTGTTTAGAAGGATGTTTGTAAAATTTCGAAATCCAGGACAAACAAAACAAACTCATGTCCATAACATTGATCAGTATTCGGAAAGATTGTAATACATAAGCATGGTTTGATACAATTTCGTCAACCAGTATCCAGACATTGACATTCTTATTGATGGTAGGAGTCTCTTGATACTTTACACCTTCATAAAATATAAGTAATTAAACCCGGTATGTTATACAGACTAAGGAAACACTATCTTAACAAATACAATAACACATTCGATTATCAATTTATATAGTTAATATGGAATATTAATTTAATTTTGCCTACTGCATGCACAGCAATAAGGAAGTAGGTTAACCAATTAACCATCAATGCTTAATGCATACTAATTTACTTATTACTTTGGTGTGATCGAAGTTAGAGTCTCCAGGTGACGTAGACTCCACACCGATCATGGCCCTAAGGAAAGGCTCGCGATCTACGTCCTCTCCCAGGTCCCTACATTCACACACGTAGTTTGCGGCTGCGCTCTAGTCATAAAAAGAAAGACACATGATTCAAATAATCAAACAATTTACACCACTATTTTGGAAATAATGATATCAGATCTGCGTAGGCTGTCGCGGTGAATATTTTCTTTTTCGAAGACATCAACACAATACAATTTATATACATTTTACCTACCAAACTACATACATTTGTCTACACAGAGTTAGACTAAAAATGTAATCTGATAAGACAAAAAAAAATAATGCGATCATGGAATCTCGTCATGAACACATACGAAAGTTATTTGGAGTGATTCATGATATATATATATATATATATATATATATATATGGGCAAAGAAGTAATTCCAACAGTGTGGACAAGTTTAGGTTGTAGAATTTTCGGAGCGATCCGCTCCTTTATCAAGACACAGTGAAACAGAACAGTTACATGTACATATACATCATATTACAAGAAGATACAACTGATATACAATAATTGAAAATATAGCTATTATATAAAACCAAGAGTCCCTTCGGCTAAAGACAGCCGAAAGCAGCAATTAAGCTGAGAGCATCGTGGACAAGGAACGCTGATAGTCTAAATATCGGAACGCTTATATATAAATATTTAAGTGATTGGTGTAAAGTATTAATTTATTACAAATAAGAAGAAATGTTAAAATGTCAAAAAGTAAAACTGAAAACTTTTGTTTATTAAAAGCTTTTTCACACGACTTGCATTTAGTTTTGAATCCTAACGAGCCAATCAAAGGCGTTTACATTTGAGTTCATTTCCCATGACCTACCTGATGCTGTGCGAATTGTATAAGTCGGCCAAGCTCATGTCTTTGTATGATGTGCCCGCCGGATAATCTCGCGACTCGTTCGAGAGTTCCCTATGCACAAGAAAACAATGTCAATTGCTTTTCGTCTATACCATCAAATAAACAACAAGATTAGTCAAGGACTTGTTTATAATGTACATTAAAATAGATAAAATTACATGGCAGGGTAAACACTTTAATAAGGAATAGCAAGTTTCATAATTCCTTTTACGACAAAAGGACCTCGTTGGCTTACACCTGTATCAATGTTAAATGTGCGGTTATACAATTGTTCCTAGAGCTTTTAAATGACACAATTAGTATAATGCTATCATCATCGCGTGAAACATGTTCCAACTATTAAATTGATACAAAACATCACAGTAGTTAAAAAACCAACATTTTTTTTTTATAGAAGATTGAAGCAAAAAAAAAAAAAGTTAAATATTCATTACGAAGGAAAGAATTATCATTTTGATCACATACATTTGCGTAGTTCTAAAACAAATCTGTTTTTCATATTAAATAAAAGGTTGGCTTCCAACAATTTCTTTCAACACGAGGAATTAAAACAAATGACAACCTGTAAATTTGTTTGAGGACCAAAAGCCTTTGAAAGCGTTGCTGACATTGACTTTCGTTCAAAGTCACAGGAATCAAAATGTTAAAATAGATATAGATTCGTTTAATGAATTGAAACTATGCAACTCATTGAATGCTTATTTAAACTTGAGTGTCGCATGGGCTAGCAGGCTGTGGTTTTGGCGTCGCACATGACCTAAGAAATACCATTCAACATGTGCACACAACCCAATTGATCGAATGTCATCTTGGTTATTTTGGTCAAAACCAATCTAAACATAATGTTTTGTCTGGGATTCAAGACTGAAAATAGATAATGGCAATACCTACATACCTGTATGCAGAAAATACCTCACATGAGGAGTCAGACAGGGTTATCTTTTATCGCTTTACTTTTTTAAAGTTAAGTATATACATGAATATATTATTCAGCCTAAAAAGAATATATTATTCAGCCTAATTCTTTTTTAAATGAATAGGAAAATGTAATATAATAATCACGTGTATATGAATTTTATTATTAAGATTATTTTATTGGTTTATTTTGTCATTATATATCTGCGAGGAAATTTATCAAGCGTATTTATCATAACAAACATTGATAATTTCATGATTCTTTAGAATTGTGCATTGCCCATGCTTGGCATGCTGAAAAAGTATTTTACCGATTTGGTATTATATAGAAATTATTGTATAGATAGAATAAAAAGAAAAGTTTTTTTGTATATTTAGTATCGAAATAACGGAAAGTTTACTGTACACGATTTTAATTCTTTTTAAAAATAACATTCGGCAGCGACATTTATCTGTCATTTTGATAGGTACCCTGTCACTCAACCTGGTGTTACGCAAGGAGGTCCACTTTGCGTATAAGTAGTAATAATGAATAATTGTATATGCAGTTATTGTTAATTTTTATCTATCTACTTATGACGAAACAAAATACAAGTTGAACTGGGACCCAGATGTTGACCCCCACCTTTGCCACAGTGAACTATGATGCAGAGAAAACGTCTGTGTGCCATTTGTTTTGTATAAAATAATTAAAAAAGCGGGCAAGACAGGTGTGACGATTTTTTTTAACTTACCTCCGTGTAATCTCCAACCGGAACTGAATACACAGTATTTCCATGCGACTTAACTAGATGACCTGCGCAAACCATAAAGTTATTCACCTGCAAATCGGAAAAACAATTAAATTTGTAATGTATTGTTTCTTAGGTTGATAAGTTTTCTTATTGTAATTTCATATATAGTTTATTGGCGGTAACGAAATACCAAACGAATTTCTAAAGATGATGAACTACATACTTGCCTAAGTCCTTATCATCATTTGCCATATTTGTAACGTGATTGAATTAGAAAGGCGGTGAATCTTCAGAAACGGATAATACAGAGACAACAGATATTGAGATACTTTTTAAAGTTGTCCAACTCACCAATAACTTAGCCTTTCCGTTGTTGGGGTCGACAGTGTCGCCGATCAGATGCCAGTGATCAGGTGTGCCCTTGCCATCAGACATCAGTATGATCCTGCTCCCAACAGGGATTCCCCTCATCGTGACACGTCTGCCTGTTATATAGTAAACAAGGCAAAGTATTGTCGGGCAAAATACTCGCCTACAGGTTATAGACTACAATGAAAATGTTTTTAATAATTGGAATTAAGTATGCACACCCTCAAAACATACCTTATAGCAACGTTTGGGAAACTCGGTAAACTACGGAAAAAATCAGCTAATCATAGTACGAATGCCTGGCGCAATATAATTACTTACATGTAGATCAAGGTCATCTTCGAAAACTCACGTACCGCATTAAAACACACCAAAAGACAAAAACTGATGAAAGTCAGGAAAATAAATGACTGATTATCTGTTTAAAATAATAATTAAAACAATGACTGCTATATAGTAGAAAAGACCAATACTTACCATTTCCCTCGCAGGCCGCTATTGCCATATGTATGCCATCAAACATTGGACTTGGTCCTTCTGCCTTTAGTGACACTTTCAATACAAAGTTATAGCGAAAACGCTTCAATAATACTGGTAACATCGTTAGACGATATTAATTAGTTACAGTTATATTTGGTCTCAACCGAGTCAATAACACAAGTGCTTCACATTTATTTCTGTTACTGTGTCTTCAGTTGATGGTGGTCTTCTATGAACTTCTTATAAAACAACCTAATTAGTATATATGTTTTCTTTTCTAAACGAAATGTTTGCAGATATTTCTTATTCGCTAAATAAACAATAATGAAAACGTTATGATCCGATGGCGTTGGAGGTCGCGGAAGGCTTGAATAAGGGATACTGTTTTCTCGTGAATTAACGTGATTCTATTTTATTATATTCATAGTAACAATAAGGTACAATCTGCAATATGATTACTCACGTAACACCTCCTTCACCTTGTCATATTGGTTGGTCAGATGGAGAGGGACACCAGGTTTTTTCCCGAAAGTGGACACCCCAATGTTCTCTTCTATACCAAGGACTAGGGAGACTTGTTGAATCCCTAGTAAACAGGTCATTACAAGACAATAAAATAGATTCATTTGAAAGCTGTTTTGTTCTATGTGTTACGTTGGCGTTATTCTATATGTTACGCTGGTATCATTCTATGTGTTACGCTGGTATCATTCTATGTGTTACACTGATATCATTCGATGTGTTACACTGGTGTTATTATATGTGTTACGCTGGTGTTATTATATTATATGTGTTACGCTGGTGATATTTTATGTGTTAGGCTGGTGTTATTATATGTGTCACGCTGGTATTATTCTCTGTGTTACGCTGGTATTATTCTATGTGTTACGCTGGTGTTATTCTATGTGTTACGCTGGTGTTATTATATGTGTTCCGCTGGTGATATTTAATGTGTTACGCTGGTGTTATTATATGTGTTACGCTGGTATCATTCTATGTGTTACGCTGGTGTTATTATATGTGTTACGCTGGTATAATTATGTGTCACGCTGGTGATATTTTATGTGTTACGCTGGTTTTATTCTATGTGTTACGCTGGTATCATTCTATGTGTTACACTGATATCATTCGATGTGTTACGCTGGTGTTATTATATGTGTTACGCTGGTGATATTTAATGTGTTACGCTGGTGTTATTATATGTGTTACGCTGGTGATATTATATGTGTTAAGCTGGTATCATTATATGTGTTACGCTGGTATTATTATATGTGTTTCGCTGGTGATATTATATGTGTTACGCTGGTATCATTATATGTGTCACGCTGGTGATATTTTATGTGTTACGCTGGTTTTATTCTATGTGTTACGCTGGTATCATTCTATGTGTTACACTGGTATTATTATATGTGTCAAGCTGGTGATATTCGATGTGTTACGCTGGTATCATTATATGTGTTACGCTGGTGTTATTATATGTGCTACGCTGGTGTTATTATATGTGTTACGCTGGTATAATTCTATGTGTTACTCAGGTATTATTCTATGTGTTACGCTGGTATTATATTATGTGTTACGTTGGTGTTATTCTATGTGTTACGCTGGTTTTATTCTATGTGTTACGCTGGTATCATTCTATGTGTTACACTGGTATTATTATATGTGTCAAGCTGGTGATATTTGATGTGTTACGCTGGTATCATTATATGTGTTACGCTGGTCTTATTCTATTTGTTACGCTGTTGATATTATATGTGTTACGCTGGTATCATTCTATGTGTTAAACTGGTATTATTATATGTGTCAAGCTGGTGATATTCGATGTGTTACGCTGGTATCATTATATGTGTTACGCTGGTATCATTCGATGTGTTACGTTGGTGTTATTCTATGTGTTATGCTGGTATCATTCTATGTGTTACGCTGGTATCATTCGATGTGTTACGTTGGTGTTATTCTATGTGTTATGCTGGTATCATTCTATGTGTTACGCTGGTATCATTCTATGCGTTACGTTGGTGTTATTCTATGTGTTACGCTGGTTTTATTCTATGTGTTACGCTGGTATCATTCTATGTGTTACGTTGGTGTTATTCTATGCGTTATGCTGGTATCATTCTATGTGTTACGCTGGTATCATTCGATGTGTTACGTTGGTGTTATTCTATGTGTTATGCTGGTATCATTCTATGTGTTACGCTGGTATCATTCGATGTGTTACGTTGGTGTTATTCTATGTGTTATGCTGGTATCATTCTATGTGTTACGCTGGTATCATTCTATGTGTTACACTGGTATTATTATATGTGTCAAGCTGGTGATATTCGATGTGTTACGCTGGTATCATTATATGTGTTACGCTGGTCTTATTCTATTTGTTACGCTGTTGATATTATATGTGTTACGCTGGTATCATTCTATGTGTTATGCTGGTGTTATAATATGTGTTACGCTGGTATTATTATATGTGTTACGCTGGTATCATTCTATGCGTTACGCTGGTGTTATTATATGTGTTACGCTGGGATTATTATATGTGTTACGCTGGTGATATTTTATGTGTTACGCTGGTGTTATTATATGTGTTACGCTGGTATCATTATATGTGTTACGCTGGTATCATTCTATGTGTTAAACTGGTATTATTATATGTGTCAAGCTGGTGATATTTGATGTGTTACGCTGGTATCATTATATGTGTTACGCTGGTATTATTCTATTTGTTACGCTGTTGATATTATATGTGTTACGCTGGTATCATTCTATGTGTTACGCTGGTATCATTCTATGTGTTACGCTGGTATTATTCTATGTGTTACGCTGGTATTATTATATGTGTTACGCTGGTATCATTCTATGCGTTACGCTGGTGTTATTATATGTGTTACGCTGGTATTATTATATGTGTTACGCTGGTGATATTTTATGTGTTACGCTGGTATCATTATATGTGTTACGCTGGTATCATTCTATGTGTTACGCTGGTGTTATTATATGTGTTACGCTGGTATTATTATATGTGTTACGCTGGTGATATTTTATGTGTTACGCTGGTGTTATTATATGTGTTACGCTGGTGATATTTTATGTGTTACGCTGGTATAATATGTGTTACGCTGGTATCATTCTATGTGTTACGCTGGTATTATTATGTGTTACGCTGGTGATATTTTATGTGTTAGGCTGGTGTTATTATATGTGTTACGCTGGTATTATTCTATGTGTTACGCTGGTATTATTCTAGGTGTTACGCTGGTATTATATTATGTGTTTCGTTGGTGTTATTCTATGTGTTACGCTGGTTTTATTCTATGTGTTACGCTGCTATCATTCTATGTGTTACGCTGGTATCATTCTATGTGTTACGCTGGTATTATCCTAATACGCGTGAATGTCTCTATTGTCATTGAATGAAAGAATAATTATACACCATGACATCATATACCATAGGCAAGTTGAATTAATCGTTTTTTTTTTATATTCAGACTTTTAAAGTCAGATTCAGCTTACATTAAATTGCATTATTTAACGGTATATATGATACATATAGCTGCAATATGTTACCTTAATGTCATATAAAACAACGCAAGCATCGAACATTAGTTAACTGTACGTATGATACATATAGCTACAATATTTTACCTTAATGTCATATAAAACAATGCCAGCATCGTCCATTAGTTAACTGTACGTATGATACATATAGCTACAATATGTTACAATAATGTCATATAAAACAATGCCAGCATCGAACATTAGGTAACGGTAAGTATGATACATATAGCTACAATATGTTACAATAATGACATATATAACAATGCCAGCATCGAACATTAGTTAACTGTACGTATGATACATATAGCTACAATATGTTACCTTGATGTCATATAAAACAATGCCACCATCAAACATTAGTTGACTGCACGTATGATACATATAGCTACAATATGTTACCTTAATGTCATATAAAACAATGCCAGCATCAAACATTAGTTAACTGTATGTATGATACATATTGCTACAATATGTTACCTTAATGTCATATAAATCAATGCCAGCATCAAACATTAGTTAACTGTACGCATGATACATATAGCTACAATATGTTACCTTAATGTCATATAAAACAATGCCAGCATCAAATATTTGCCTTCATTGACATATAATTTCCATAATATTAATAAAAATATAAATTTGGTTTTGTTTCGAATTCAAAATTGATAAAAATAAAGCAAAATAAAAAAGTAAGGAAATATTTTAAAAAATGTAATAAAAGGATAAAGAAAAATAAGCGATTCTGCTTCATCAACGACATCCGCCATGTAAATCTAGGTCAAAATAATGTCAATCCTCATTGCAAGATACTTGGTGGTGACTAAAAACAAGGGTCAATCATTAGCCTACGTAAAACACTGACGTTCATTCATATCACACAAGAAAATAAAATATATCACAATAAGATTATGATGACATATGCAAACGTATGCATAGTTCCATCAACCAGAAATTTGTCAAAACACAGAGTAAGAAGTTTGTCCATCAGCATTTGACATCTGTCACGAAAGTCATGATGTTCTGAGCAATATCTTCAATATCGAATCAACATCGATATGTGAAGAACGGATATTGGAAAAGCAGGTATGTTACTTTCAAGAAATAGAAAGTTAACGAAAAGAAAATTGAAAACGCATAGCTTACATGTAGTGAAAGTGACGATCATACGTGGTAAGCGGCTGCTAAAGTACCATGATGTCAAAGTCAGAAGAGTGTATACGATCAGTGTGTCAAGTTTTTGATATGGCATTAACTGTATACCTACCATCAACAAACTTAATTGCTAGTGAAATCATCTCCTGGAAGGCTGCACCTTCCATACTCCCTGAAGTATCTAAGCACAAGACCGTGTCAGGTCCGACTCCCCGTGGTAGTTTGGCTGCTGACCCTATAAAACAAGTATTAACTATTTATGAAATCTGTATTTGCAAGTTGCTTGTCCTGGTCTTTTTTATTTGTTCCATCGAGTTAACTTTTACCTGTTTCTATACTCCGATTTCTCCTCTCCTAGTCCATGCTTCGATAACCTTAGTTTGAAATCTGGGCAGAACAATCGAAAAAAACAAAGTAAGTAGCGTAGACGCGACACGATTTAATCGAACCTGGGAATCATCAATTTATTTATATGTATTTATGTTTTGCACCTTTTCATTAACTAACAACAGTTACGTTATGCTACAGCCACCTTTACATTAACTATCAACAGTCACGTTATGCTACAGTCACCTTTACATTAACTATCAACTGTTAGGTTATGCTACAGATACCTTTACATTAATCATCAACTGAAACGTTACGCTACAGCTACCTTTAATTTTTTCCACATCTGCTCGTTTGGCCATATCTTCAATATATGCCGAAGTCTCCATGTTGTCTTTCATCAGGGTCTCCATTGCTATTATAAAATATATAATTCAAATGAGAATGAAAGTGTTTATATATCAGACATGGGCCCGTATTCATGAAACCGTTCTCATGCTCAAGCATGGATTCTGTGCTCAAGGAAGCTTTCTTGTAACTCACCTAAATCATGTCAACGATCAAAAAGCCAAATTTAGATATTGAAAATAGTATTCGGCTATAAGTCTCTTCAATTTTTGTCCAAAATTTTAACAAAATAAGATTTCTTAAAAGGTTTCATAACTGGAACAAGAAATTAGACTTGAGCACAACATCCATGCTTGAGCATGAGAATGGTTTCATGAATACGGGCCCTGGACCAAACAGTATAACAGTGTAATATACACACTTTTTGAAATTAATATTATTTAGTGGTTTTACGCACCACCCCATCTTAGGGGTTTCATCAGTTTGTATTGCCACGTGTTTGGCCCCGTGAATCATTGATGAAATCTAGAGGTTCAAAACAACTGCATTGTGCTAGATGGTCCCGCTATACATACAAATTAGAATCTTAATTATCCGGCAATCATCTTTATAAACAAGGACAAGTTTGGATAGAAAAATGTCAATCCGTCCTTTGGTGGACAGCCGAAAGGGTGCAGATTGGAATAACAAGTCTTGGCATTCTGAATAGATTTGTTATACACCGATACATTGCATTCATTTTACTATATCTAATTAAACAAGTTAATTAATAAACACTCCCTTTAAACACTGACTACCCCTCCTAAGGATGATTTAAAAGTGACTGAAAAAGTAACAATGACGTAAAAACATTTTAATTGCATGTTTGATAAAGATTATACATGTCGTTTAATGAGTAATTCTATATATATATATATAGAACAGAGAGTACAGTAAAACAATGGAGTATACATACACACGTGCTCCTCCTGTTGTGCAATTTGTTGTACAATATTTGGGTCTTCGCTCACAAGCTTCAGAGTTTCCTCTAGGCCAAAGCTGACAGGCGGAACATAACAGATTTTGTAAAAAAAAAAATGAAAAAAATATAAAAAAAAACACCAGAGCACGTTACATGTGATAAATCCATGTTGTAAATGCTGTCTAATTATGTTTTTATCAATGTTTGAATTATTTGATACACCAGACCATCAATAAGGAAAAAAATGTTTTGTTATTTACATGTTCATTCGGTAATATAAGCTTTGCGGATAATGAATGTAATATTTTGTTTTAAGTACCTGAATAGAGACATGTCTAGGTCATCATGTCCTCCTAAACTCCTCATTAGAGTTTCGGAATGACGCGCTAATTCGTCTTTCATATATCCTAACACAGCCTCATCTTTCAGCATACTGGTGTTATCACTAGAAGTAACATCTTGGTCATTACCTACGGCGCCTTTTTCCTCTTTACTCTCTTCAACGGTATGTTTGTTTTCTTTTTTCTGGATCTCAATTTTCCTAAAATAATGAAGTCTGTTATCGACGTCTTTTTCCGTCAGTCTTCGTTTAAAACCTGTATCATTTAGAGGCACTTTGGCTGTATGTAACCTATCATGGCTGTAACCCTCATCATTACTTTGTCTCTTTGGCTTTCCCTTTTTATTTTCACCTAGAGATCCGGATCTTCGAGAATCAACACTGTTCATGCTCAGAGGGGTTGCCGAATCATCAGCAAATCTTACTTTCTTCTTACTCTTGCGTTTTTCTGTGTTACTTTGAGAATCACTTTTGCCATTGTGTCCAGGAGTACCATTTTGTTTCTTTGTGTTACTCTGTCCACTAAGTTCAGAACCTCCGTCATTATGTTGTTGACCTCTTGACCTCTGACGTTTTGTATCTAGATCTCCCGGAATGCATCGGTTGCGGTCCTTGCTTAGATGGCAAGTGTAATTCCTCACAAGAGAAGATGCTCGTTCTACCCTTGGCACAAGATCACGAACCATATTCGCTAATTCCTGAAATTCGTCATCTCCTTCCTGCATGCGTTTCTCAAGTCGTTGAAAGGAATCCTCTAAATCTTCACAAATGATAAGTTAAAGAATAAAAAAGCTATTAAATACAAACTATTTCGAATCATGAATTAAACCTTAATTTACGGAAGCAGTGCTATGCATAGACACTAGTATATTGCTGAGAGAATTGAATATGTCATGCTAAATAATTTGTTTTTTCAAACAAATTGGTTCCCAGTTAAATATGTATTTGGGATTTGGAATATTGGGATTCTTCTCTAACTTAAAATGACAAATTATTATTTAGTCCGACGCTGAGCTGAATGTGTGTTAAACATCTATGTTAAGAGTAGAAACATTATACCATTAATTCGACGACGCTGGTCTTCATCTGCATTCCTATCGGCTTCTCTGAAAAACATGTTATGTACCACAGAGATACAACATTTTTTTAATGTATTTCTATGGAATATAAGGATTAAAGGTTTTTCAATTTATTATCACGATTGCTCTTTCTCCGGTTTTCAATTAGTAAAACAAACAATTGTAACTGAACATTCTTCAAAACAAATCTTGTAAAATTGTCGCTTAACAACGGTTGGAGAAGATATACATATGCTATCAACTCTTCCTGCTAGTGAGTGTACCTCTGTCCTTGTAATCTACTGATATGCCTAACCTTTCGCGATATCCCCGTGCTGTTGATTATGTCCCCTTATCTCTCTTAACTCATCTAACCTTTGGTGACATCTCCTTTCCGTGCATTTTCGTGTCACCTTTCGTAATTATCCTTATCTATTATGATTTGGTTCAAGACACTCTCTATTCTTCCGTAATTCTGCCTACCTTTCTGTTGATTACGTCACCTTATCTCCCCGTAATTCTGCCTACTTTTCTGTTGATTACGTCCCCTTAACTCCCCGTATTCTGCTACCTTTCCGTTGATTACGTCCCCTTATCTCCCCGTACTTCTGCCTACCTTTCTGTTGATTACGTCCCCTTATCTTCCCGTCATTCTGTCTACCTTTCTGTTGATTACGTCCCTTTATCTCCCCGTAATTCTACCTACCTTTCTGTTGATTACGTCCCCTTATCTCCCCGTAATTCTGCCTACCTTTCTGTTGATTACGTCACCTTATCTCCCCGTAATTCTGCCTACCTTTCTGTTGATTACGTCACCTTATCTCCCCGTAATTCTGCCTACCTTTCTGTTGATTACGTCCCCTTATCTTCCCGTCATTCTGGCTACCTTTCTGTTGATTACGTCCCTTTATCTCCCCGTAATTCTACCTACCTTTCTGTTGATTACGTCCCCTTATCTCCCCGTAATTCTGCCTACCTTTCTGTTGATTACGTCCCCTTATCTCCCCGTATTTCTGTCCACCTTTCTGTTGATTACGTCCCCTTATCTCCCCGTAATTCTGCCTACCTTTCTGTTGATTACGTCCCCTTATCTCCCCGTAATTCTGCCTACCTTTCTTGCAGAATTTTTGTCACTTTAGCATTGGTTTCAAAGATGCTGGTGATCATTTCTTTCATTCTGTTTATCTGCAACATATATTTTTAAATAATACCGTTTGCTTGAAGAGACACTACTAATACACTGAAATCAACTTACTGGGTTATTGTTTTTATTATTCAGTTTTTGATATTTTTGGAATGTTAATTGCATGTCATGAAGAGGGAAAATTAATTTTCACTGTCTACAAATATCGTACTGAAATAAGTGAAGATGTTAATTATTTTATCTTCTATTTCAGGTAAAAATAGTACAAAATCTATCAGATTCAGAGATTAACCAAAAAATCGTTACCCAGTGTCGATGTGAAAATACTATAACCAAAACTGAGGAGACATCAAAACAAAAGTAAATAATCATTAACTCAAACAAAACCGGAAGTTTAACCAGGGGTTACTGAGGAGTAATTATTGCCTCCGACCAAGGTGTGATACCCGCAATGATGGTTCCCGTCAAATCAAAAACAGTATATAGGTCACACTTTTATAACCGACCACTCAATACACAAGGGAAGAGACACCAAGGAAGGACAGAGAAACCCTGACTTAGAAGTGAAATCAGACCGTCTAGGATGGTAAATGCGTAAGTACCGTGTCTCCCGTTAAACAGAGATAAATATATCACCATCGCACTCACGGTACAGAGAAAATCTTCATTCATTGAAAAATAAACAGAAATATTTCTGAAATAAGGAAGTAATATCCCTCTGATTCATAAGTTATCGACAATAGCGGAAGTCATGGTACATATGACATGTATGATGATTTATATAAAGGCATTCATGAAATGACTTATGGTAGCGATTTGGCGTCTCTCAAATCTTTTAATTATCTCCTTACGTCCCTGGTCAGATTTCTGACTCCTGGCTAGTTCACTGTGATTACAGTTCAGTCCCCCCCGTCCGATTGGTCAGTCCCTATGAGCTAGTGGTCACTTCGGCTCCGCTCCCAGCTGGTATTTAGGTGTTGGCGCCAAACTGTCCATTCTTTCTTTCGACACATTCGCTTCTTGTCACAATAAAGGAAAGGAAGTACAGTCTTTGTTGGGCAAGCTCATGTTTGTTGCCTCGTGTGTTAGACCAGGCCGCATTTTTGTCAGTAGGTTGCTCAATTGGTTAAGAACTTTGCATGAGGATCCTTTGGCTATTTTGAGCATTCCAGATGAGGTGCAGAAGGATTTGCTGTGGTGGCAGGTGTTTTTATTGCAATACAATGGGGTCTCCATGATGGCAGTGGAGAATTGGAGTCACCCAGACGGGGAGTTTGCCTCTGATGCATGTTTGTCTGGCTGTGGAGGTTTTTTCGGAGGCAGATATTTTCACTCCACTTTCCCCGAGTTTATTTTGAACAAAAAACTTAGCATTAATGCCCTCGAGTTGCTGTCGGTTACCATATGTGTTAAGCTGTGGGGTCAGCATTTTAAAGGAAAAAGAATGCTGATTTGGTGTGACAACGAGTCTTCCGTAGCGGTTTTGAATTCGGGAAGGGCAAGGACAAAGTTTATGCAGAGTTGTCTGAGGGAGGTGTGTTTTCATGCAGCTGTGGGGGAGTTTGAGGTAAGGGCTAGGCATATTGTCGGTTCTGAGAATCGGATTCC